TTTACTGCCTTTATTCCACTGCCGCCTTATCCACATGCATTCGGAGCTCGTAGATCGCTATCGCGCTACCACCACCACGGTTTTGTCTGTTACAATGCATGACACTCACTCAACAGAAAATAGCTGGCACGTCGTTTATTCCAGGTCAGCCAGAGCTTTGGCGAACCCAAGATCATGTGCAGCGCGAGCGTCACAAGAACAGCGAGTCACACTTTTTGCTGATGATAATGATGTTAGTCTCTGAAGCCACAGCTTCTCCCTTTCGTAAAAGTTCAAACGATCAGGAGCGCGGCGCTCTCGCGTTGAGCGCCGCAAAGGTTGAGTTGCCAGAATCGGTGAATCTTTTGCGCTTTCATCCGAAAGTGCTTGACGGGCCAATAGCATGTCAGTGTCGCACGATTTGTCAACTGAAGCATTACGCTGTTGCACTTGGTCACAATGTCGCCATCCCATTCCCTCAGTCGTGTCTACTGTGATCATGCGCTTGCCCTGCTGGTCCCACACGATACCTGGTATCCACCTTTTCCGTGGCCGGAACGTTTATGTCCAGACACGCTGTCCTACCGGCCATTGCTGTTCTCGTTCATTGCACGGATTTGCTATAACATCATCTGTGGTCGGCATAATGCAGAGGAGTTTCGTTTGTATTTGATACCCTAGCAAAAGCTCCGCTGGAGACTTGCCCTCCTTCACTGGCGTGCCGCGGTAACGAAACAGAAGCCTTGAAAGTCGAGTTTGCAGTGAAATTTCTCTGTTTTTATTCAAGCCTTCCTTCAACATTTTTACTGCTCGCTCCACTAAACAATTTCATTGGGGATAATAATGTGCTGTCGTCAAGTGTTTTACTTGGTACTTAGCTAGAAAATTGCAGAAGTGGAAACCCGTGAACTGAGGTCCATTATCAGTCACAAAAGTACGTGGTAGTCTGAACCTCACAAACACTGCTCTCCTTTCGAACTGCTTCCTCTTGTACTGGCTGCCATTTCCACGTAACTCCTTTAGTTAGCACTGAAGAACTGCTTCAATGTTGTCGTCCTTAGGTTTGAGCCCATAAGCATTAGCTCGATGTTCAAGAAAATGAGTTCTTCTTGTCTGAATTTGCACTTCGTGATGTTTAGCCTGAGACCATAGTCCCGTAAGCGCATCAAGACTTGCTTTAGCAATGAAGTGTCATTGTGCTTCTCAGCCACTATAACGTCATAAAGATAGGCTTGTACACCCGGGAGATCCTTGAATAAGGAATCCATATGCCTCTGGAAGATGGCCGGAGCTGATCTAATCCCAAAAAAAGCATATTAAAGCAAAATGGGTCCTTGTGAGTGTTTATGGCAGTCAGCTTCTTGGCCTCGTCGTCCAGGGGCAGCTGGTTGTACGCTTGAGTCAAATCCAGGGTACTAAATACTTCGCCATACAGTCGTGCGAAGATGTCATCCACAGGAGCTGATGGGTACTGTTCAGTCACTATGGGCGTGTTCACTGTCAGCCGAAAATCTTCACACAGTCTAATGAACCCATAAGTCTTAACAACTGGAACAACTGGCGTTACCCATTCTGCTGCCATAACTGGTGATATCACACCATTGGCAACCAATTGGTCCAAAGCATCAGACACCTTGGTTGTCAGAGCATATGGCACCGTACGTGCTTTGCGAAAGCGGGGCGTGGCATTTTGTTTCAGGATAAGCTTCACAGGTGGACCTCAACATGCACAAGGTCTTCCTTGCGCATGTGGAGGTTTGCGACGACACTTGGCCTCAACATGGCCACTCCACAATTGTAGTCCTTGATGGTATCCCTTTCGCATAACGCTTGTCCAGGTGTATCGACAATAACCAGGGTTCCCTATACGTCATGCCCCTCGCAGGTCGCTTTCATGTGTACTTCTCTAACCACTGGAAGTTCTCCCAAAAAACATGACAATTTCAGAGTGGTGCTGCTTAGAGGCAGCCATCTGCTTTGATTCTGCTTGAACAGGCTCATTGAAATAACGCTAATGGGTGACCCCGGATCGATCAACATAGTAACGGGCACACCATCCCATGTGATTTTCTTGAAAATTGGCTTAGCCATGCGGCCAGTACTCGTTTTATGAGCCAGTATAGTATAGAGCTTCTTCTCATCTTCCAAGCTATCATCAGCTTCTACCAACAAGACTAAGCGCCAAGGGACTGCCACTGGGTTTGTTTTTGGCACATTCGAGCGACATGTCCTCATTTACCGCATTGGCGGCAGCCCGTACAGACATGATAGCACTGCTCGTTCGAGTGAGCTTCACTGCTACACCTATGGCAAGGTGTCATGCCTTTTGCCTTCGATTGCCCTTTTCGTGGCCGATTCTGACACATGAATTGGATGCTACTCTGATCAATAGATTGCATGCTTCTAGCATTTGTGGCCGCGTTCTGAGCTGCAACAATGAAATCCTCTGCTTCCGTTAGCACCAGGTTCCTGAGAGTCAGCAAATGTCATCTCACATCTTCATTTAAGACTCCACACACGATTCTGTCTCGTAGCGTGCAATCGAGCGACGATCCAAAATTGCATTTTTCTGCCAATCCCCTTATTTCAACAATGAATTCCTGTACCCTCTCTCCTTCTAGTTGTGGTCAAGTAAAAAAAAAATAACTTGCAGCTATTTCGTTGACTTCCGGGACACAGTACTCCTCGAGGTAATTAACGGCACCGTCGTAGTTAAGTACATAGATTTGCCTCGGATGGCAACATCCCTGGACCACTCGAATTGTGCTGTCGGGAAGCGAAGCCACTAACACTGCTCATCACTTCGTCGCGTCCATGATGTCTTGCGCTTCAAATTAGGCTTCGAGGCGAACTCAAAACGTTGAACACGTTCCCTCAAACACTGGTGGCTGTCCCACGCTCATGGCTCTGCAGGTGCAGGACTGGTTGAGGTCCTCGTTTTCCTCATCGCCACTGTTGAGGACCTCAACCAGTCCAACCAACCAGACACTCACTCAACAGAACATAGGTGGCACGTCGTTTATTCTAGGTCAGCCAGAGCTTCGGCGAACCCGAACTCCCGCGCAGCACGAGCGTCACATGGTCGGCGAGCTACGCTTTTTGCTGGTTATGATGATGTTAGTTTCGGATGCTACATGTGCGTGGCGGTTGCGGCAAACTGTGGTTACATTTTTAATCCATGTGTGTTGGCTACGCACGTGCCTTCAAAACTAAGTCGTTTTATGCTATCTATGATCACATCTGCCGTGGTCTTGTCCACAGAGTTTGCAGAAATAAGTGCTGCTTTGAATGATCAAGCGTCGTACGCGCACACACTTTCGGAGTACTGTCAGTAACATCGTCACCATACATGATCGTGTCAAGAACGACCGCGGTTTCGTCCACAGTAGTTGTGGCAACAACCACATGCATTGTAAAAAACAATGCAAGCGCTGGTCACACGCTTACTTCTGAAGCTTCGAGCACGCTGCTCTCGGTCAGCCTTCGTTCGACAGTTTTGTTACTGAAGTGCACCTGACATGCCTCGTTTTGGAAAAAAGTTCAAAACATTCAAATTTTGGCCCAATAGACACATGAAAATTTAGCTGAAAAATTTCACGAATTCATATCTGCCGTGGTTTTGCATCATTGAGACTACTGTATGTTAAGATGAGCGCCTTCTAAATTCGTTTATAATAAAATGCGGTGGGTTCGCAAAAAGCCTGAAGTGGACCGACTTCCATATTTGTCAATGCGGCCAATTCATGCACAAAAAATTCAATTTCCGGGAGGTTTACATGCCAACCGTACAAACAGAAGAAACGGTCAAACTCCGGAAGCCTCCTGAAAAATCCGGAAGACTTAGCAGGTATGCCAGTATGGCAACAAATCAGACCGGCTGTTCGTTCGCATGAGCAACCAAATGAGCCAGTTGCGAGTGGTTGATGATAAGAATAGCATAGTATAAGGCAAAAGTCACCACTCCACTATACCACACCTCTATCTCGGCGTTGTCGGATACACTTTGAGGGTGGTCAGCTGCTGGTATTATGTCAGTGCAACTGTTAGGTTCGTTCACAAAAACCTGTGGCCAGTGTTTGAGCATGCTTTTCACCATGACATCACTATTAATTGGTTAAAATCGCGTCGTGACGCTGCTGGGAAAGAAAAGGGAGCCGTCGACACTTTTTCTATTTTGGTAATAAATGATCCTTCATTTTGCTAGATTAGACCAGCTATATTTTTCAATTTCACTGCAACGCAATTTTTTCCACACACTATGAGTTTCGTAGTACTGGGGTTTGACTGTAGTATTTCTGCAATCTTTTTACAACTGCCATCAGAATCCAGATGGCATTATCATTGCATCCAATTTTCATCCCCAATGACTCTATAGGCATGTCACTCCCTTGCACAAAACTCGTCGACTCTAAAGTGCCTAGCGGCGGCCCTGTTGTTGCTTAGTGCATGATCAATCACTTTCAACTTGAAAGCAGCCATGTCGCTTCTGTAATGGCTATAATTTTCGAGGGTGCAATAATTTACTAGCAAAAAAAAATCCGATTTTCGTTGGGCAATGTGGAGGGTGCGAGAATTATGTGAATGCTAGGATTACAGAAGTAAATACAGTATATACATTATGCATCGAATTTCAACCTTAGCACTGGTCGTTGCACAAGCTTTGTAATTAGCTCGAGTGTTCTCGTCGTGCGTGCAATCTCAACAAAACTATCTCCTACAATCATGAAGTTTCTTGACCACTGAAGGTGTGGTTTGCACTGAACACTGCTGACAGTCTTAGTAGGCCTAAACCAAATACAGCAAAAGTTAAATAATACACAAGTGTAGCCGTATCATAAAACAACAGTACAGATTAGAGAGCAAGTAAACACACACAGCCTATAAACAACCATGATAAAGATGTATGTCATGCATAATGCATAAGGCAGTTAATCAAAAAGAGTTTAACTTGGGGCAGGCCCCAAGCAGCTGGTAGGGGAAAGAAGTCATTGTAAGTTGCCAATGCCAAGGATGATGATCACCTGGATATGTGAGGGTCCCTGACCAACTGTGTGTCACCCACACAGCCAGGGTTGAACCCGTAGCAGAGGCCGTTGCGGAAGGCACAATGCAGTGGTGCCGCGAGGCCATGCGCGTGCAGCAGGCGCATGTTGAGGACCTCAGCCGACCTGTCGATGAAGAGCTCTGTCTTCTGGCCATAGATGCGCAGCAGCAGCGCCTCCTCCCCCAGCTCCCCTCCACCTTGCCAGCAGCCGACCAGTTGGTTTGTGATGCCATCTGTGAACGTCTGCCGAAGTGAACATCACAGTCACTGGCTGGTCTGCTACAGAACAAGAAGCCCTTCGTGATGCTTTTGACTCGCAGAACTTGCATAAACAAAACGGAGACTTTCTTGATCTCATTTGAGAACCTTTATCTTAAAAGAAGCAAATCTACCTTAAAAGCAATTGATAATGTAATATCTTTCTACTTATAATATGGGCATGTGTGCTACAACAAGCTTTAGTCAACGTGCTAATGCTACCTGAGAACTTTAGGCAGTTGCAGTATGGCCACTATTAAGAAGTAATTGTCCGACTGGGCACTACAGAACTTCTATCCAGAATAAGAAGAGAAATGCCGTTTGTGTTTAAAGCACACACTTTGTAAACCATTTGTAAATCATTAAGTAACTGGTTTACACAGGAAAAAATACACAGTGTTGGTTGGGCACAATAATGAATGGCAGGCAGCCTGTGTCTGCAGAACTGCTTTGGGCACCCTGCTTAAGCTGTCCTGTCTGAAAGTGGCAGTGCAAGAGCAATATTCCAAAACTGTGTAACAAAACTTATCAAACAAATGTTGCTTTTCTTTGCTTCGATCTTCTGCTGCATGAGAAGAGTAGAGATTGCATGTAGCAAGAATGAAATCCAAATGTATACAGTGCACGCTTCTTTCTGGCAACAGGTGCTCTCTTCTGGACAGTTGGCAACTTTTTCTTGTCCATTCTACTAAAGGCTTCCAGAACATGGCCCATCCATTGATTCGGCATTGACGAGCATACTTTTAGACTTATCTTGACCAGAGAGTGCGTATGCAAAATTCGTCCTTGGTCTGTGGCACAGCTTAGTACATCACTGCCTCTTACTGAGACAAAGCTGTCCCCAAGCCTTTGCTTTCATATGTGTACATTTCAGATACACTTCCTTGCAACAAGACAGGATAGCAACTAACTGGGTCACCCATGAAATGGGCTGTAGAAGGCTGAGTTTATCCACAGAGCACACCCACTGGTTGAACTGGTCTGGCTCACTTTGATTGCGAATGATGAAGCATCTATCCGACTGTTTTTCATTTTCTATTCAGAGCTCAATTCTATTCAACTCAATTTGATCAAAAATTGTTTTTGATGTGACAGCTCGTTTAAAAGAAATTTTGATGTCAGCTTTGTAGCTTGCGAGAGAAAAATCATCATCTTGTCTGTGACCGATAAATTGGCAAATAAAATAAATAATGAAAATGTACAGTTCGAGTAAGAATCAAACCCAAGCCATCTATCTGCATGGCAAGCAGGTATTCTAACACATAGCCGAAACTTGCTTGAAACTGCTTCAGAAGAAAAAACTAAATGTGTTTTGTAGATGGAGGAGTCTGCTTGACCTTTTGAGATGCTACATACACAATTGTGTACACCACTCGTTTTTACTATTTTCATCTCGTAAAGTGCAAGAAAGGGCAAGATATATTGTACTTTGGATGAACTGAACCTCCTGCATGTGTATTGATACGTATGATCACTTTTGTGAAGTAATCCACTATCACGTTCGATGAGTAGCACGACGTGCCACTTCCTGCAACAATGTGACAAGCAGAAATTTTCTTTGCTCAAGATTAACATAACGAAAAATGAATTAGCACTATATTCCTAGCCTAAGATTTTATTTTATCAATACCAAACGTAAACACTTTTGACTTCAGGGTAAAGAGATGTTTAATTACAACTTAATTAGTATGAACAACTTAATTAGTGTGAGTTGCTATAACACTCATAAATTCAAGAATTATCTCATCATTCTTGTTGCAATAGTATATCGAGTGCCTTGAAGTGATGTAGCAATTTAAGACATCTACAGACGGTTCATCATAAGTGGTGTCTGAAATGGTTAAAGGGATACTGGCACACAATTTCACAACTGAGATAGACTGCAATATTGATTCCCGTAAACATACATATGTCTTCTGCAAAATATTAACAGCGGATATAGCTTGAAAGGTATCCTAAATTAATTTTGAAGTTTGCATGAGCGATCGACTTCCTCACGCTATTGTCACCCTCAAAGGTGACCCTTGGTGACACGCCTACTTCCCTCATGTCACCATGCTGCAACAAGTTATGATAATGTCATAGCCACCATTTTTCTCGCCACATTTCTACCAGCACACTATTACTTGGCAGCTGCTCGCAAGTGCATGACCACAATGAATGCGTTTTGTGTTGGTAAAAATTTTATGTTTGCGGAGACTGCTCTTCCAATTCCTGTTCGAAAGGACTTGCTGATGCGGACTATATAGAAGTTTGTCACCATTCTGTGTGCTCTTGTGGTTGAAAATTGCACACACTAGGAGGCGATAGTTACACTTGTGGCTAGTCATTTCTGGATCTCTATCAAACTGAAACTGAGACGTGTCAATAATGAGACTCCTGTAATTAATTACCTGTCACATACTGCAGTAAACAATGAGCTGTGTTATGACCAACAGGCCTACAGAAACACATCGCAACAAACAACATGCGGCCAAAATTTTTGTTTACGTATGTGAAGGCAGAAGCATAGAGTTGCACTAGGCATGAAAGCATGTGAAGTACGTAATGAGTGTGTCTTTATTTAAAGGCTTACCGATTACAATGTGCTCAGACATGTTTAATCATCATCAGCTGCAAAAGCATAAAAAAGTGAGCAGCTGCGTAGGTTTGCATGTTGCATCACATATGCATAGTGGGCCCTTCGCTGATATGCAAAAGAAAGAATTATGACGTAGTGGACCCTCGGCAACTATGCTCGCGACAGGCATTCTAGGATAGTTTGAAATGGCCAATGTTATCCGCACAGTCGTTCATTTTTTAACAGAATGATTGAGGCATGCACCAAAAACCTAACTCGGGCAAGAAATTGAGGTGATGCACACAGGGCCTGATAACGCTATCGTGTTTTACTCTTCAAGGTGAAACTCAAGTGTCTTCCAAATTTTTGATACAATAAATCTATGCGTGGTTCACATCTCCCACTAAACTAAGCCGAATATCACTTTTTTGCTTGTACTGAAAGAATCCTGATTTTGTGCATAGCAATGCACAATATGAATAAGATGCTTTTTTTTTTTCTCAGTTCTTTCATGTTCACTCATCTATGAAGAGGCAGAAGTGCAATTTCATGACACTACAGAAAATTACAAGACTGAATTAACCTCTATATACAAAGGATGAGAGACTGCTACAAAAGTTCCATTTGTTTGAGCTAGCTATACAGCAAGCTAGAAGAAAATACTTATCTCAATTGATGTTTCCCATCTAACAGACTGAGGGCTGAGGGTTAATTGGTGTATTCTTGTGAGAGGTAGTGGCCAAATACTGCAGTGGGGTGGCGAATCCTGCTCTCATGAGGAAGTGCATTACATTTTTTGGTTGATGATGAGGCCACACCCCGGGCCACTTTTTAAATTCAATTTGTCATCAGTTTTTTTGTTAATTTGGTGGGAAATCATCTGGCACCAGGATTTCAACCACAAACTTCTTGAATGCAAGGCTGATGCTTTACCTCTACGCTATTACTCCAGCAGCTGTGAAGAGAAAACTGGGCATATGCAAAAACCAGATGTATTAAGGGACAAAGAAAGCAAACCTACTATCGATATAAAGTAGCTGAGAAGTTCTACAAAGATCCTCACAGTAGCCTCATGATAATGTCAGTAGTAGAAGTAGTACTAGTAGCTGATCTTGATTCATAAGAAAGGGGACGCCAAGGACTTGAAGAACTACAGGCCAGTCAGCCAACTATCCTTTGTCTACAGACTATTTAAAAAAATTAAAATTAATTGATTTGTAGGATTTAACATCCCAAAACCACGATCTGATTATGAGAGACGCCGTAGTGGAGGGCTTCGGAAATTTTGACCACTTGAAGTTCTTCAACGTGCACCCAAATCTGAGCACACGGACATTTAAAAAAAATAATAGTTAATAGAATTAAGATGATTAACATTAAAGTTCAATCAATCGAACTACCACCCACACAGGATTTCGTACTAGCTCCTAGAGAACAAATCATAGTCATACTATCAATTGGGTCAGAAGGAAATGTGCAGAATACAACCAACCCCAACCCCTGTACTTGGCCAAATTGACAACACCGAGCCTGTCATCAAGGCTATAGACATGCCTGTTTTTGCCACGACATCCCAGCCATAGCAGCATCCCAGTCATAGCTATGAAATGCTCTTTTGCTGCCAAACGTGAGGGAAATTACCAGCTGGCAGATGAGCAAACTGTGCCTCGACAGTGCGGCGAGAAAGACATAAGCCTGCTGATTGGATTTGATTAACTTTGGAAGTTTGTAAGCAGGAACATCATACACTGCAGGGAAGTGCAAGAATTGGCCGCGGAAAAGACCACTCTCGGGTGGACACTGGAAGGCTCGGTCGAGAAAACGAGCGTCATGGGCGGAACATATGGAGTGATGACTCGCGTCCTGCGAGTGCAAGCTCAAGAAGGCAAAGACTTTGAGCAAAGCATAATCGATTCCCTTTCCACGTTCGATGCTACTGAAATCGCACCAAAGGAAGCAACTCACGAGTGCGCTGTTACCTTGTTTGTCTTCAAAAATAAGGTCGCAAAGATTGACAAACAGTACCAAGTAGCCATGCCACAGAAACACAAGGACACCGATTTGCTTCAAGAAAGCTACAGCGTCGCAATTCATCGCTTGCAATATCTGACTAAACGTATCTCAAAGCCCGAAGAAGTGATCGAAAACTACAATATAGCATTTCGTCAGTGTATTCTTTCCGGCCAATCTAAGTTTTACTTGACGAGAAATCAATGAATGACTCCCATACTACTGCACACACAGGGAAGTTATTCGAAAAAAACTGCTTACCTCCAAGTTCCGTGTCTCCAACGATAAGTTCAAGATTAAGAAAAATGAATTCATCTCTAGTGAAACCATATCAGCAGCCAGAGGTATTGGAGCCGGCAAGTTTCGACAATATCGTTTCCAGATGAGAAAAGATTCAGACACTAACCCGTGGGTA